TGGTCCCCAGGGTACTCTAGTCCCGGTGAGCACTTCCATATGTGCCGCTGAACAGGATATGGTTTTTCTGAGTCTTTTAGCCTGCGAACACAGACGTTTTTATGGTCGTCTGACGTTTCTGTCCGTAGGCTATGAGTCTTCAGGATTCCTACCAAAAATTATTTTTTCCAAAATCATCTAATTCCATTGTGTCAGTTTAAACAATTTTAATCTAAATTACGTCATTTTGTATGGAAAACCAAACGAATCAGGGCCGGGTTGTTCGAAGCTGGGTTAAGATAACCCAGGGTTAGTGCAAATTTCGAACTCAGATATAAGAGCTTTAAAAAGCCAATTCAGTTGAATTCTCTTTGCCTGCAATTTGATGATTGGATATGCTAAAAGAGTAGAGAAAATTATCCGGAGAGAGTGCTTTTGATATAAAGAAAAAGAAACCCGGGTTAAAAGTTAACCCCGGGTTAGTGCTAACCAGCGTTCGAACAACTTGGGGCCCAGGGCCCTAAAATAAGTTCTCTCAACAGGGTAGCGAAATGCATGATTTGTGTCTAAACCGAGCCAGGGTTTGAAAGCTTTGGCGGGACTTCGGGAAACGGGTTCCTGGTCTAAATACGATTTCCTTTCCCCTATTTTTTCGAAAATTGCAAAGAAGAACTTAGTAATAAAATGATTGGTTTCAAGAGGGTCAAAAACGTGAAGAGCAAAAACGTGTCTTCATGATCACGCATCCCGTGCCGGGGGCAGCCCTGTCATGTCAGTATATCGTGTTGGCCTACGCAGATGTTTCTTCACGTAAATTAACTTGTAATAGTGAAGAGAAGTGTGACGTCACGTTACCATGGTAGCACTATTTCTGAATGACAACAAAACCAACGACGACTGCCACAGCAAGGAGAACGAAAAAATAATATGTTTATATTAACAAACAACAACTTTGCACGTGCATCACTCTATTTTGTACACTTCTTTGCCCTCGTTGCACCACTACGACATGAAACTTCTTAATTTCACGAGCCCGCTTTATGGAGTAGGTGACACAACACAAAAAATTGTCGCTTTCTTTTTCTAAACTTAGATAACGATAAATACGGCCCCGAAGAAAATTTCGCCAAGATTTGCCAAATTAAATTAAATAAAATTGAATAAGATCGGTGAAGTTTGAAATAGTGCGAATAGACTTTTAAGTGACTTTATCGATCGGTTTGTTGTCTTCCAAAAATTTTGCTACCATGGCAACGTGACGTAACGACTTCTCCTGTTATTCAAACCGAAACTCAATGATCCCTCTTATTATCTGCTCACCCCTAACGCTCACTCCTCATTAGGCCTTGGGATAGACTTGCCGTATAAACCGTTTCACTTCGAACCGCCTGGCCCAAAAAAATCCTCCCAATATTAACTTTCGTTTTGTAAAATCGTAAGAAATAAATCGTACTCTGCAAACGTTCTACTTAATAGGTTTCATTTGAATACCAGCACCATAGGATTTCGCCCACAGACTCAATGTTGTTCCGAGCCTCTTTTTCAAAGGGAGGCTAAGTGCAACAGGAAAGGTTTTGCACTCAGTAGCCTCGTTTCTAAAGTGAAAGTTTATGGAACTCGGCAAAAATTACCTATTGTTGACAAAAGTCTGGTCGCTACTGCCCAAGCTAGCCCGGAAAGTGGGGGATGGGTACTCCTGGGAATTCTTGGCGGGGGTGTGCCTGACCCTATTTCAGACCAAAAAATGTCATTTTCCATACCTGTTTTCAGACCAGACCTCTAAAATCCATACCCGTTTTCAGACCTTGCCTTTAGGCAGAAATTATGTCATCATTACTTAGAGTAGAGCGCAAACAAAAAATTTCTTCAAACGCATTTCGAATTCACATATTTCTATTCAGTCGCTCTTATTCATTTGGGATTTAAAAGACAAGTATGTTTATACACTCCCGTAGTTTCCTCGAAAAACTATACCCGATTCCAGACCAAAATGGGAAAGTCTATACCCGTAATCAGACCATGTATTCGGTCGCTAGGGAAAAACAGCCATCCTATGTGCTAAATTGATAACATACGTATTTCTGCATAAAAAGCAGCGCTAAAGGAAATTCTGCACCGTTGTTAATTTAGGTGTTGAAGACGCGTATGTATTCAATTTTTTTTCAGGCTTTCTTTTTCGCATCTAAATTGCGTGCATAACAGCGATGATTTTTCACGTATGGAAATTAATGTTTTCTTTAATTAAAACTTACTTTGACTGAAACATTTTCCCCACACCAACAAACAACTATGATCGCAGGCTACCTATAACATCTTGTTTTCTTGTCTGCATGATACAATTTACTGAATAATTGATAGTGTACACAGCCATCTGTTTTCATTACACATCTTCCTTGTTAACAGTGACAGAACAGATTACTTTTACTCAAGTAACAAATGCACTGAGTGAGAGCCTTTGAAGTTAAGTAGACCGAAGTAATTGACACGGAATATGAAATTCTACCACATGATTTCTTGCGTCATAATCTTTTATAAAAGCATGGCCACGTTTGTAAGAAGTCATTCTTATAATGAAGGTATGTTTAAGAACCTTTTTTTCTAATGCTCTTGGAACGCTAACAGTTAGCCAAATTTTGCAGCAATTTAACAGAGGAGGGATATTTTGTGCATTTAACAGAATTGCGGTTTAGTTGATAAAATTCCCCCGTGCTGCAGTTTTCGAATTAAATACAACCATTATTTCTCCACTCTGTTCCATGTTTTTGTTTTTTTCGATTTGATATATTCTTTTTCGTAGTGAGCTCAGCCCTCTAAGTTACTAAAATGCAAGCTCTTTGACAGAAACTTACGGAAAAGTATTCTTAAACGTTTAAGTAACTGGTCTGTTACTTACTGAAAAGAGTTCACGTAATGTTTTGTTTCCAAGTCAGTTGTTTTTCCATAAATTTTATACTATATGCTTTTTTAAAAACATTTTGACATATCTGAGTGCTTAAAAGTCGCTTGACATTAAGTATTATACGGGACTTAAGACGCTTAGTTAATTAACCAATGCTGCGTTTAGAAGGTTAGACCCTGCAGCAGCTAACAGCTAGATATCTAAGGTCTTGTGTTTTACTTTGAGTATCACCACCAACTGGAGACTCAGCTGGACTTATTTGGAAACAAGTCAAATGCGACTACATGGTGGAGAGTGTTAAGTCTTGACTGTCACGTCCTGTGAATTTTTTAATGAAGGGAAGTTGACCTCCAACAATGCAATATTTACCTAGATTCATGGCATTCAGATTTAGACTGTGTTTGAATTATTTACGCTGACAATTTCTGAATTATTTACGCTGATGTTATCGCATTAATTATAGATGGTAAGACGTTTCACATAGTTATATACTAATTTTACATAATATAGCTTTAGGTTATCAGGAACAGGCTTGATATCGTACTTGACAGAGGCAAAATATGATGAACAAAAATAGTCACAATTTTCATCGATAGGCTTTTACAGGTGGAGAGGGATGGTTGGTGGGGGGAAAGGGTGGGGTAGTGATTGTTTAGGGTGGAGAAGTGGGAGTAGCCTGTGTACATACCCCCCTCCCCTCAGGAAAAATGAGTGTAGTTGTCAATGTGATGATTTTCAGATTCCCTGCTACGTATTGACGACAGGCCCTAAAACCTATCAAAATCCCTCATTTACATGATGCAGTGATAGATCATTCTCTCTTGTCTACAGGTAACAGCTAATCAAATTATTTTCCACACATTCCGGGAAAAATCACGTGGCCTCCATACACGATTAGCAACGGTGAATCACAGACCCCTCTTCTCCGATTATTCCTGACGGGAGGAGGGCTGGGGTCTGTACACAGGCTGAGGTGGGAGTTTTTCATTTCAGCGTCAGAATTTTAACATTCTGCGGAGCTTAACTTGAGACTTTTGTTCTTCGGCCATCGTAGTTTGATCAAAAATAAAACACAAACAGCGGTGATAAACATTGTGAGTTTTCGCATTTTTTATAAACTTGACGTTTCGTATGCTATTCAAAATACATTTTCAAAATTGATCTTAAGTGACCGTTGAAGAGAGAATGCTAACCGCTGAACAATATGCGGAATCCTTATTTAAATTTGAATAGGAAACCCAAATGAACTCTATTACAAGTGTTAGAAATATAGTTCTGCTATTTTTTTCCTTAAGGTCCTTGTCGCGAATTGGCGTTCCCAAGTTTTCTTTTCTTTGCCGACGAGCGCCTGATGAACCACACCATAAAAACTTCGCGATCAAGTTCGCGATCTGGATGAGTGTGAGTTGAGGTGTTACTACGAGCACAATTGTGTCAGCGTTAATTTTGAAAACAAAATGGTTGGAAATGGAAAATACAGCTGTGAATTGAACAATTCTACACACGGAGAACACGACGAAGACTTTGTGGAGGCACCAAATTTCCTTTACCGCGGAACAAACGTAAGATCATTAAATTTTAACGTTATCCAGTCTCCGAGCCTATTAATACCATAACCCAACGCCTCGTCCAAAGGGAAACGGCTGGAGTTCACCCTTTGGGCTTGACTGTGTTACAATATTTTGCAAAGATCAAAAATTAAGGAGATAGTTTCTGTTTGTGATAACTGCACGGAATGATGTGAATATTATGGAATTTGACGCGCTGAGGGCCAGGTACGTCATTTATGATGGCAGCCATGTTGGCCGTCATATTGGATGTAATTGAAAATTCAGATTTATCGCAATGGAGTAAACGCAAACCATCTTTCTTTTGAACCCCCCCCCCGACTAAATCTGACAACTACACTAGGTCTCTTCCTTTCGCCATTAAGCACCTTAAAACAACGCCCCCTTATGTATGTAAGACGGGCTAATCCCTAAACCCGACGCTTAGAGTTGGGCTCGGACTGACAATCTTTACTCATTTTCCTTGAATCATGATAAGGTGGACACCTTTAGCAAAGGTTTAGAAAGGCTCAGAAGCATAAAGCAATATCTCTTTTCCATAATATTTTCCCCAGAATCCTTGTGGTAGTTCTCCATGCAAAAATAACGGGACTTGTCAATCAGGATTTACCAAGAAAGGATATCACTGCTTGTGTCGTCGAGGTTGGACAGGTGAAAGATGCCAAGATGGTAGGTCTGAAAAATGAACTAAATGAACGCAGTAGTTATGAAACCACGCAAGCTGTACCGCACTTAAAAGGAAGAAACCACATGTGAGAACATTAATTAAAAAAAAAAGTATATAATCCGCTGTAATATTAGCCCTGCCATTGTCGACAAAATCATCACAAGCGCAACAAGCGCAGGGCGTTCCAGACGGAAGCAGCATTTTCAGGAGCTTGTGCATTGATGAAAGAGTTTTCCTTTCACTTTGGAGTGGATTCAGGATTTGCGGCACGTCTCTCTTTACTTTCACCTTCGATTAGCCTAAAATTCTCGATCTGAGTTATAATTTGAAGTTGAGTTAATTTTCGGTGGACTGTCGACCTGTCGTGTAAACGAGACAGTTCCACTGTCCAGTCATCGTTTTCTTTGCAAAGTAACTGAATGAGTCTTTTAATAACCATCTTCACCTAGATATTAACGAATGTGATGAAAACAGTCACGAGTGTAGCCAGAACGCAGATTGTACAAACACAAAGGGATCTTACAGATGCAACTGCAAGACTGGATTCTATGGAGATGGATACAACTGCACAGGTATCCCAGTGTTTACTTGGGTCCTTAGTTGTTGTAAACAGTTGAGAAAATATCCATGCAGCTAACATCAATGAACTGCAAAAGATCATCCTCTTAGGAAGGACACGTATACTAAGAAGATTTCTATCCATCCAGTAAAATACCCCTCTAGGACCCCAGGAATGGGCCAGTTTCTAACAGACTACAAGGAAAAACAATAACAACAATAATAATAATAATAATAATAATAATAATAATAATAATAATAATAATAATAATAATTAATTAATTAATTAAAGAGCCGGTATCCAGAAGAAAAGGTAGAAGAGTGGATTTTAAATCCAGCGTGCTGATGGAAGTGGAAAGCTCAGTTATAAGCGAGGTATTATTTCTCTGGCCAAGAAGACGAAAAGGGGAGCTTATAACAGAAGTATTATGCTAGTGTACCATTGATCTATTTGCTTAGGAAAGAGAGGGAGAGAAGACTTAAAAGAAAGGGCGGCTTATTCACTGTCTTCCGCTTTATAAAGAATATGAAGGCAAGTAAGAAGTAAGTGGTTAATTCACACTATTACAACGTTATTCTAGAGATCAACGAATGTCAAGAAGAACTGAGATGCGGAAAGGACGCAGCTTGTACGAACACTGAAGGATCTTTCAGATGCACCTGCAATATTGGTTACTATGGAGATGGATACATCTGCACAGGTATACCACTGTTAGTGCAAACTTCCCAAGACTGAAAGCAGTTGCAAGCGAGGGTAAAAGACAGCACTGATTGATCACCATCAGAAAAACAGCCTGAAATATGATGATGTTTACCGGTTTGAGGTTGCCAATAGTTCCCGGTAAAAAAAAAGCGGCCAATAAAGTGTTAACAATAACTGCTGCACTAGATGGAGAATTTTCTTCCTTTAGCGTATGTAAAAAAACCTGTGCATTGAACACCAATCAGTCTTCTATAGTCTGAGGCATTGGATGCTTTGACAGTTATGATCGTAAATCGTGTAAATCGTAAACTTTTAAACCAAACATTATATAAGAAAGGACTGCTTTGTCTTTTAGAAGAGCTAAGGAAAATTCTTTATGCATAAGTCAATTCCAGCTGCTCCCAGCCCCCTCCCCGGGCTGACACCCGGGCATTAGCATTTTTTTTTGCCTTGGATGGCAAATTCCCGGGGTGGGGACTCTTGAGCTGTCAAATCCCCCGGAGTGGGGACGAAAAAAGAGGGCAAATGCCCCGTCCTCCGTCAACATCGCAACATTTTTTATTGATCGCACGGTCGAGTGGTGCCATTTTAAGCATTCTAATGTGCGATTTTTTTTTTCAATTAACGTCTTCCTTTGTAATAGTGCTATTCTAATTGAGACTTCACGCCGTGACGACACCAGTTTATGGTTTTAGTATTGTTATAAAATTAATGACATTTTAAAAATTAATAGTGCCCTGTAAAGTTAACTGCAATGAATAGTTTTATAAATATGAAAGGATGTTCTTCAAATAGTATCAAGAGAAACTTGATTCAATAAGCCAAAAAACGTTGATTCACGTCGATAGCTCCCGAGTTTCGCTATATAATTCTGGCTTGATAAGCAATGAAGAAATGCATGCATAAAATCGAGAACATGCCTTTACAAACCTCTTCAATTTTTTCCCGGCCTTGAAATGAGCCAATCTGCTTGCTTTCAAGTAAAATCCTGTGTGTAGCTAAATTCTGATAGGAAACCGCGTGCGTGTCAAAAGCTCGGGGTTGGCAAATGCCCGGCCCCCGGGCAGGGCAAAATTTGCAAATGCCCCACCCCCGGGACTGAGGGCGGGCAAATGCCCCGCAGTAGCCCGGGGGGGGGGGGGGGGGGGCTGGGCGCGGCTGGAATTGACTGATGCATTAACAACTGCCTTTGGCAACATAGTGTCTCATCGCTCGCAGAAATGTTGGGCAGTCTGATATTTTTCTAACGAAGTAAAAACTGGTTTGGCTGCTTCTTCTGGTTTAATTCTTCTCGATCTTTATAATAATTATGCTTATGACAATTTCACTATTAAAACGGTCTCCTATGGTTCCTCTTTTAACACGAACAAGTTGATTATCTCACAGTCACAGTCATCTCACTCTCTGATCTTAAATATCTTTTGTTCTCCCACTAGAGTGTTACACAATATTTGACTTCGAAGACCATGATTTGTCAAATTGGACTTTGAATGGCACTGCATTCAATAATCAGCCAACATACGGGAATAACACATTAGCAGGGACGTACAGGTCTTGGAGCAACCACAAAGGGGATTGGTGGATTGGTACCTACGACAATCGGTCCAGTCCCTTTGAACCGTTTGGGGGAGAACAAGGCGATGATCCTCAAGGCTCAATGACGTCACCCAAATTTCAGATTACTGGAAAGTTCCTCACTTTCCTAATTGGCTCAGGCTGCAAAGGTCATACAGGTCCAATCATTCGTGCCGAGCTTATTGTTGATGGGGTAGTGGTTCGCAAGGAGACACCGACTGATTGTGATGATGCTATGAAAGAGAAAAGCTGGAATGTAACGTGTTACGCCGGTAAACATGCCCAGTTGCGGTTGATTGATCACTCCTCAGGTCACTGGGGTCACATTAATTTTGATAACTTACAAGCTTGCCATAAACTCATTTCAGATACGGATCCTTGAGTTTTCTTTGTGTTCATTTTGAGCAGTTCTGTAGGATAAAACAAGACAAAGGACTTGTAAGAATAGAAGCGGTTTTTATTTTGGAATCATTTATAGAATGTACAGCTCTCTTTGTTTTTCTTCTGTGATCAATCAGATCCTCTGTACTTTTATTTTATTTCTATTTTATGTAGTGATTTCGGTGAACAATACGTGTAGTAGAGTTCGGATGTTTTGAATTAGCTCTGCGGTATTTTCCCAAAAGTTAAAACAAAAGTAACTTTATTCGCTCTTAAAAACCCAATACAATGGGAGTCATTTCTCTCCCTGAACCTGCAAATTACAAACACAAAACTAAATATAAAGGTAACGAGCTAACAGCGGGGTGTAAGAAGCTTGTTCTTAAAGTTAGTGTACGATTAACATAAGAATTATGTGAAGAGTTTAGTAATGATCCTTGTAAAAATTGGGACTTTCAAAGTAGCAGAAAGCACTTCAGAGCCTTGCTTTATCTTTATTGTTTGACTAAAAGCTGTAAAAGGTAGCAAAACGTATACATACACCAGGAACCGGGGCCAATAGCACACATATCAGGAGAATGCACCCAGCGAGAGTTTCCTCTTTAATACATTGAAAACACTTTTTAGGCTATCCAAAGTACTTTTAGAGCTGTAGAAATTCATTTTAAGTGGCGCTATAAAATTTGTATCTGTTCGGTCACCTTAGAGGAACTTGGGTCTTTTCGAAATTTTAAGGGCTTGTTGATTTCGATTGATTCGAGAAACGGTAGAGAGGTCAAAGCGATTGCCTGTTCTCTTAAAGAAGATACTATTTATTCCACTACTTCAGAGTTTGTTAAAGTTTCCTCAGACTCAAGTAGAAAGGTAACATTGGTTACTGCTTTGAGAATGTCAAACCGCGAGGGATTGAACACGATAGGACTCCCTGGCTCTGTTTCCATCTTTCCAAAAAGGGATGGTGTAGTACTTTTAAAAAATGACGACACAGAGTTATGGACCTTTGACATACCCCAAGTGACGTTGTTTTTTCTATTTCAGAGGAACGGATAGCCCGTTTTTATTCACCTGGACTACTGCATGTCTTTTGGTCAGATCACTTCGGTTAAAAAACCACCTATTGATCGAAAGCGACCGTGACCACTTTGGGTGTTACGGTTTTAAAATAGATTTCCCACTTAAGCTCGATCTCTATGCTTACTGTAAGAACTACTTTGCGAAGATCTTTTAGCGACCACAAGGAGCTGTACCGTAACTTTACAATTGCAATCCAATGAATTCTCTTTCAAAAAGTAGATGTGTCAGGTCCTCGTCTTCGAAAAGATCCTCTATAGTTCCATTCTCGTAAGCATTCACCTTCTGTAAGCAAGCGCTCAATTGTTTTCGCAGATTGGGAGGTCACTTACGGGAGGTACGTCAACTCCGGGGTGGGGAGAGGGCGGGGGGGCACTCGAGGAACGTTTGGGTAGAGGTGTACCGCCCAAATGCCACACCTTTGTTGAAGGTCCTGTCAAGTACTTTGCCATCGCGGTCAATGACTTTGGAATTAGATAAGATGATTGTTGTTATTGTTTTCAATTCATTTTATTATGCTATTTTACGAAAAAGACAAACATCACTGGTGTACTTACCTAGTCAGTAAAAAGTATAAAAATGCCGTTTAGCCAGCCGTATAGGCATAAGAAAATGGATTTAGTAAGCTGATTCATAGTTTTGGCACTGAGTATGTAGACGATCCTCTCAAGACATTTTAATGCACCTTCCGTTGTTTTGAGCGGGGCATGATTTTCAGAAAAAGGAAAAGCAGGTCATTTAGGTGGAACAGGTGGTCATTACTACCAACCTCGTCCCCAGGGCTTTTCCCTCAAAAATGGGTGGGGCGGGAAAAGGCCCTGGCATCGGCTGGTCACGAGTCTCCTCGTACACCCTAAAATCCTGGGTGTAATAAATTAGCGCCTTGTGAAAAGCTAAAATTATGCGTAACCTCACAGCGCGCGATCTCGCCGCGACCTTTTATATCTCTTGACGATTAACGAAAAGTTTTACAAGGTTTTCTTTTTGTCACAGATACTGGCTATGGTAATTTTTTGCTTTCTTCCGATGTCTACGAAGGGGACAGCGAGTAACATTTGTAAAACTTCTAAAACAAACAAGCTATCGTACGTGCATAAAGGTTGTACTGGAAAAGTCCGCTTTCTCGACTCCTCTGATATTTTATTTCATTTCTTGAGAAGTGGGCCGCCGTACAAAGCCTAGTCACCTTAACTCTCAGCGATATCATAGCGACACGCGTTGGTTTACACTTATCCTGTATGACCCGTATTTTTAATAAAATTCATTGACCTCTGCGATCAAACGACTGGCAATAAAGAAAGACTTGGGTCCATTTAAAATCGACAGAGCTGTCTTTGATTCCAATCGATCAGTCAATCGTCTCTTTAATATAAGGAAAATCCTTTGTACTTATCCTCGGAAGAGAAAAGATATAAGAGTTCTTCAAATGTTTCAGATCGGCGACCTGTCATCGTTCCTGGCTGGAGGGCTGACTTGCATCCGGCGCGGAGACTTGTTTGTTTCATGGTCAGGTTGAAGAGAAGACCAGACTTCATAAAGCATTTTGATGAACGAGTCTATTTCAATTAAGTTCAATTTGTTTAAATTCACTGCAGATCCTGGAGGCAAAGGCCCGCATTTTTGTTTGACATAGGACAAAATCACTTTCCGCTTGATCGTACAGTAATTCCACAATCACGATGAAGTTTAGTCGAAGTACTAGTCGATAACAGTGGGACATAACAGCTTGTCTCAACGTTGAAGCATTTGACATATTTTGTACGTGACAACGTAGAGCCGGTATGCCCTTTCATAAACTTCTAGCATTTGAATAATGCGCAATTTTAATCGCACACACGAGAAAATATTGACATAGTGCGCGATGTTATTATTTTCGATTGTTACTCCCTTCTGTCAGCGCAAAACCAGCGGGTTGCATATAAATTAGCTTGTCAGGAATATTTAGGGCGTACACGTGACCAGCCGATGCCAGGGCCTTTTCTCGCCCCACCCATTTTTTGAGGGAAAAGCCCTGAGGACGAGGTTGCATTACTACGAAAAATAGCCTACCGTTCCATTTTAGTGACCACAATGATGTCCTGCTGGTTGTAAAACAATGAAAAGGTGCATTAAATCTACCCGCTCGGTCCGCGCTACGCGCTCGGTCATTATCTCTAAGACGGCCTCGAAGGAGCCTGGGAGAAGAAAGGACGGGAAGGGGGATCTCTACGGCGGCGGGAAGCGGGGAAGAAATTCAAAAAGGCAAGCTTTCGTTATTTGTTATTGCTTATCATCCAGTCAAAGAAACGAACCCAAAAACGTCCATTTAACGTTCTCCGAGGCTTAAAGCAAAAGTTTTATATGCGAGAAAAGTCAAAAAACGAAAATTCGTACTCGATATAAAAAAAAGGCGTTACTTCCGGTCAAACTGGAAACCTTTCCAAGTCGCTTACGTCATAGGTCATGAATGAGATGGCATAACACATGTACACGTATGTCGACTGGTTCAGTCGTGTAATAGAAGTGTCTCGTCTCTCTCGCTAAAGGGCGGGAGTCGGGAGACAAAGGGACACAAGGGTGTCCCCCCCCCCTTTACTACTGCTACCAGAATCCTTCACGGTTTTTGTTTCTTGCGAATATTAGGGCTTTCTTTTTTAAACCTCGCTGGGATGATCAAAATCAAATATGAATTGGAAAAACGAAATGGATTTTAGTAGTGTTATAGTACCCCAACTGACTCTATCGTCACTTGAAAATGATTACCAAAAAACCGTGACTACGGTATTTTAGCACTACCTTGTAAATTAAACATGAATTGATGTAAAGAGTGTTTATTGAATGTAATTTAAGAACTGGTGGATTTTTTAATTCATAAATTATGCAGAAAATGCCATTGATACAAAAAAATTATTCAACCAGTTTTCTAGCATTTTTTAATTTTTTATTTTTAATTGACTGTGAAAATCCCCGCACTTAAATTAAGTCTGTCTGTCTTAAATGTAATAAGTGTAATAAGTCTTCGTACAACCCGACCTCTCACAAGGCTACTACTATCCGGACTCTGACGAGACGAGCGCAACTAGTTTGCGACTCACCTGACAGCCTACAAGACGAGACTGATTATCTTAACAACGTTTTTAGTAAGAACAATTACAACACGGACTTTGTTAGACGGAACACTCACAGTAACACTGATTCCAACTCTCAGACCAACTCTGGCCCTGTTACGACAGCGACTATACCGTACATCAGAGGCACCTCTGAAACTATTGCACGTATATTACAACCTTACAATATACGTGTTGCGCACAAACCGATAACCACTTTACGGCGACTGCTTACTAGACAGGGAGCAGTATACAAGATCAAATGCTGCGACTGCCAGGCTTCTTACATTGGTGAAACCGGCAGAAACCTAAGCACGCGACTGACCGAACACAAACGCGCGACGAGGAATGGTGACGTCAACAATCACATTGCTGAGCAACATTTAAAGACGAAACATCAAATTGACTGGGACTCTGCGACATGTATAACGTATTCTACAGACTACTATCAACGTCTTACTTTAGAAAGCTGGTTTACTAACTTAGAACAAACGCCACTGAATCGTAGTCAACAGTTACCAGCGCCGTACAAACGACTTATTGACGAGATCAAGCAAAACTAACTACGAGAGAACAACTAGAAAACTAACAATTTGACTAACAATAGACGACTGTTTAACTGCGACAATAGACGGATCGAAACGCACCAATCACTGATTACGAGTCTTCATAGCCAATAACATCACGGTTTAACTGACAGACGACCAATAACATCGCGACATAATTGACCAATCAGATCAATAACCCGAGTATAATACTATCAACTGACGTGATACAACTCACTTTGACTCTGAAGATGACTACCGCACAGGTTGTCGAAACGTCAGTCACTGTCAACAACAACAGTCCTATTCAGGACTACGTTCACCCGGACGATCAAACTCAACCTTTTGAAGTGTCGTATTCTTACCCAGCCTGTCCGTGTTGCTTTTAATTTTGTGATTATGTACTAATTTTAACTATTCTTATATTTTTTTAATTTTCTGAGCCCGCAGTAACTCGCTCACGCTGTTTTGGAATCCCTGCCACTTTTTTTGTTACTTCGTTTGATTACCTGAATGTATTTATATTATTTTGGCGAAGCTAATAAAATAAAATAAAATAATAAAATAACTTGTGTTTTATTTACCTTCACGTAGTAAAAACAAATTAAGCATATTTGATAAAGCATCCTGATAACAACAAACGGAGATTGGTGACAAAAGCAAATTAAACCGACACTAAGAAACAATGCATGGTTGTCATCCCCTCCCCATAAATCGATAAACGAAACAGTGTGTCATCGATTTCTACCGATTGATCGATACAATCGATATCAATCAAATCAGATTTACCGATTTTTATCGATTGACTACGCCGGGTTTCAATAGCTGTCGATGTAACAATTTTCGGAACAAATTGAGACAAAAAAAATAGGAACCTTAAGCAAGGACGACGACGACAGCAGTGAAAACGTAGGTAAAAAAATGAATTTGCGTTCTTTCAAACTTAATCGCGTCTATTTGGACCCGCTCAAAATGTCAAATGCAGGCGACTTCTCATGGAGTTGAATTCTTAAGGATTTTATTCAGGTTGAAAAAGAGGAAGGAAAATTCGTCGTCGTATGTTCACGTTTTCCACAAAACGGCAAATTAGGAGGTTTCACGTCGAAGTCGTGCAGTTGACGTCAAAGAAATGTACTAAAAAGCGTGATGCACGTGCAGAGCTGTTGTTTTGATCATTAATTAAACCTATTGTTTTTTGAAGTCGTCGTTGTGGCTGTCGTCGTCGGCGTAGTTGCTTAAGCTCCCTAATGTCGACAATCAACGACATCTTAGCAGCTGTATCTCTTCAAACAGCCTTGTCGCCAGGTCCTTCTAATTTCCCATGATATCTGAGAGGTTATTAGACGCA